CGGGTTGACGAAGGGCTTTTCAACGCCTTGGGCCTGCAGTTGTTGCTGGGCTGTGCGAACCGGGCTTTCAATGAAGTGGGACCACTGGACCTCTGCAGGGAGATCATCCCTGTACACCGTGAAAGCGCAACACACCATGCCTTCAACTGTCACTGCAGCCTGCGTCTGGTACTTTGGTTGCACATCCGTGGCCCCTACGTTGTGGAAGCACCCGGCGAGGAGGTGTGGACGCCCGGTCTCCACATCCTCGGCCGAGATACTAATGGTTCCCCCGCAGGTCGAAGGCTCCGGGCAATCGTACCCCAACACCGCCACACACAGAGCGTCCGACTCCATTGTCCTTAGCAAGGCAAGGTCTTCAGGGGTTGTTGCGGCGGCGTCCTGCAGGATAACACCTGTTGCACCTGGACAGAGGTTTTGCAAGATGGGCACCGGCTGCTCGTCCATGCCACACCATATCCCTGGGCATAAGCGGAATTGCGCGGCCACTGGCACGGTCTGTGCCGGAAGGCGTTGTTTTCGCAAGGCTTTTTGGATTCGGGCAGCTGCTTTAGCAACTCGGCTGTCCCCACTAGGCCACTCAACCCCTGCGGCCTAGCGTTCTTAGCAAGGTCCTCCCATCGCTGGGCCGGGTCAGTAGGCTTAACCAGAGCCAGGCATTTGGAGGCCCCAAGCTTGTCTAACAGGCGGTCTGTGACAACCGTAGTTTCATGCAGGCTCACTCCTCTGTCCAACAACAGTGAGGCAATCCTCGTCTTAGCCAACTGGACCCCGTCATCCTTAGCGCCGCCACCTCGATGCTCAACATGGACACAAAGCAAGATGCGGCTGGATCCCTTACGGCGGAACAGGGGCTGCGCTCCGTTTGTCTGCAGGTTGCGTTCGACAGGGAGCGGGAACGGGCCCGATGTAACCCTGGCCTTCGGCCAACAACCAGCGAACAGGCTGGCAGACCGCCAGCAGTTGAGGATGGTTTCCACAGTCATTGCAGCGGGCAAGGATGTGAACGCCGCAGTCTCGGCCTGGCACTGAAGCTCAACCTCAACCTTAGGGCACCCTGGCGGCTGTGTTTCGGCGAGTTGGTACAGTTGCCCCAAGAAACTTTGCTTACGCAGCAGCCCTTGCATGGTCTCTGGAGATATCACAAAGCCTGCAAGCTTTGGCTGGAGGGAAACTTGTAGCCTATCAACCGGTCGTGGAGGGAAGGCGAAGGTGACCGACCAGCCCATGGCCTCAATCAGCGCAACGGGCAGGTGCATACACCAATGTGCAGCAAAAGCGGATGGCGCTTGGAAGCAGAAACCCTGACCCTGTCGCCTGACCCTCGTGGCTGAGACACTGCTTGGTGCATACTGGGGCAGCTGCGTGGGCGCTTGATCGATGGAAGTAATAATGGTCCAGGCTGGCAGCTTTTCAAGTTCTGGGACCGGGCGCCCCATAACGTCAAGGCACACTGCGTCGCCTGAACCCCTTCCAATGACCTTCAGGAAAAGGGACTTGAGCTGTGCCAGAAAATCGTGCGCATGTCTTTTCAAGCAACAAACGCCAGAAGGTGTGAGCGCAACCAAGACAGGTGCGCCCGGCTGCGGTCGAACATCCCAGGGCACATGGAGAGGAGTGTGTAGCGGGAGTGTTTCTGACGGTTCATCTGCAGGTGTCTTCGTCGCCCTGCAGGAGTGGGCACAGCGGTTTGGGCTAGACCCAAAAGGGGTTAGGGAGGTGGCCCCCAGCAGCGTGCCTGCAGAAAGGGGTTGGGGAGGTGGCCCCCAGTGCGTTGAAAGCAAGGGTAAGGTCCAGCCCCGGCGAGATGTGGAGCTTGCGGCCTGTGTCGCACTGCAGGGGTGTGCACACGGGTTAGGGCTAGACCCGAAAGGGTTTGGGGAGGGGGCCTGCAGCACATTGAACGCAATGGCAGAAACCCTCGCACTGGGGGGGTTTGCACACGGGTTAGGGCTATACCCGAAAAGGGCTGGGGATGTGGCCCCCAGTACGTTGAAAGCAAGGGTGGGGTCCATCCCCTTCAGTCGTGGAGTGCTTGCGGACTGTGTTGCGCTGCGGGGGTGCGCACACGGTTTAGGGCTAAACCCGAAAGGGGTCAGGGAAGTGGCCCCCAGCGCACTGCAAGCAAAGAAAGGGTCCAGCCCCAGCAAAAGTCGTGGAGTCTCTGTCGCACTGGGGGGGTGTGCACACAGGTTTGGGCTATACCCGAAATGGGTTAGGGAGATTGCCCCCAGCGCGTGTAAAGCAAAGGCACGGTCCAGCCGCAGCGACAGGTGAACCTTCGGTCTTGGAGCGCCTGCGGTCTGTGTCGCACTGGGGGGGTGTGCACACGGGTTAAGGCTAAACCCAGAAGGGGTTCGGGAGGTGGCCCCCAGCGAGCTGAAAGCAAGGATAGGGCTCAGCCCCAAAATGAGCGGTGGAGTGCCTGTGGCCTCTGTAGCACTGGGGGGGTGTGCACACGGGTTGGGGCTACACCCTAAAGGGGTTCGGGATATGGCCCCCAGCGCGTTGAAAGCAAGGGTGAGTCCTGTAGTACCGGCAACGGTCAAACCAGGGGAGTGTCCGCAAATGGTGGTCTCCTGCGCGTTGAACGCAAGGGTCATTTGTGGAGTGCCTGCCGCCTGTGACATAAGTACACGGTGGGGCCGGAAACTCTCAACAGCCCTCCTACACCCAGCATCCAACAGAGCGTTGAAGAATGGGGAGACTGGCAAGACTACTGCAAACTTGGCCCTGAGTCGCTTGTCAAGACAACAATGCACAGCTACAGCGGGGCTAATGGCATCGTGAGGCTCAAACTGCGTGTCTGTAGGGTCATTATCCAGCGACCAGCTCACCTCCCAAGGCACCCGCACGAGTGCCATGCGCATGGCTGCCTGGCTCCAGCCGTTAAAGCCGCCGCAAAACACCTACGAACCACCTCATGCTTTTCAATGTCCAGCTGTCCCATGAGGAACGCCGGTCCCATCGTGGCGTCCAAGATGACTACGTCACCCTGACAGCATGCCACCGTCCACGCAGCTCGTATCCTACGAGTGTGGCTTGCCAGGGTGTAGAAATCCGAAGCTCTCAAACGTAACACAGCCTTCCCTCCCGCGGTGGAGGGGCAAACGCTGATATCCCCGTTGGCCGCCCAAATGTGTGCCTGTTGCAGCACCTGCGCTCTCACCAGGAAGTCCTTGCCTGCCGGCACAAAATCGCCGTCCAAACGAAGATCAAAGCGTGCTAGCTGGCCTTCCCGAAGATCCTGGCAATGTGCCGCAAAACCAAAGAGATCCCTCAATGACTCCCAGGCTGGATGCGTCGCTCTTTCATGTGTCCCCTGGTTCGACATGGCAGGGCCCAATTTGCAGGCACGAGGCTACCCAACGACCTCGGGTCTAGTCGCCCTGGGCCGAGAGGCTCCTAAACCCTAAACCCTAAACCCCTAACCCCTAACCCCTAACCCCTAACCCCCCTAACCCCTAACCCCTAACCCCTAACCCCTAAACCCTAAACCCTAAACCCTAACCCCTAAACCCTAAACCCCAAACCCTAAACCCTAAACCCTAAACCCTAAACCCTAAACCCTAAACCCTAAACCCTAAACCCTACCCTAAACCCTACCTAAACCCTAAACCCTAAACCCTAAACCCTAAACCCTAAACCCTAAACCCTAAACCCTAAACCCTAAACCCTAAACCCTAAACCCCAACCCGAAACGGGTTTAGGGGTTGGGGTCTAGTTGCGGGAGCCTACACCCGAAACCGCAAACCCGAAAACCCTAAACCCTAACACCCGAAAGTCCTTTTTTTGGAGAGAAAGACCATCATCTTAGAGAGTTGCTCATGTGGGCTTCAGGGTGTCCAAGACCCCTGGGGTGGATCCAAAACATATTTAGGTTTTAGGGTTTAGGGTTTAGAGTACTCTTAAGGAACTTTGGATCCTCCCTTAAATGGTTCTGATGTATGGCCCTTAATTTGTAAAGGGTATGTAAGGGGTATATGTGCGGTACCCGTTTAAGGGCCCATATTAACGGTCTACCCTAAACCCTAAACCCTTAACCTTAAACCCTAAACCCTAAACCCTTTTAAGGGCCCATATTCACGGTCCGCAGAGCGAAAGCGGTTCTGAGGAACCACTTCCAAGGGTCCAGGGAGCCGGAGCACCGCTACTTGACTCGTGGCTCGGTGAACCACTGCCCTCCTAGGGTTCCGCGCGGCAATCGGGCATGTGCGTGCTTGGAGCCCTTCATCTCCTGCCTCGTTGGCGGCGATTCACACGAGCCCCAGTTCCGCTGTGAGTTCCTCAGGACGGGCCCGCGCAACCCCTGAAGATGCAGCTCGCAGATCAGCGACACCATGCAAGTGCGACACATTGTGACCCGGATTGCTGATGCCACGAGGCCTCATGTAGTAGTTTCCCTAAACCCTAAACCCTAAACCCTAAACCTAAACCCTAAACCCTAAACCCTAAACCCTAAACCCTAAACCCTAAACCCTAAACCCTTAAACCCTAAAACCCTAAACCCTAAGCCCTAAACCCAGGAGTCGCGCACAGCTGAAGGGCATGGTCACTGCTACCGTCAGTCGGTGGTGTTCTCCTCTTCGAAGATCTGCAACGCCTAGCTGCCCGAGATGAGTAGCTACGTTGTATCCACCCTGGAGCTTTTGAGCAAACCGCCCCAACCCTGAACACCCTAGACCCGAAATAAGCCCTGACCCTTCATCCGCAAACCGCGGGGGGCGCTAGGCTGCGTTGATCTCAACTCGTGCGCCCGTGGCATCCTAAATGGACTGCTGTAGAAGCCCTAAACCCTAAACTCCTAACCTCTATGCTCTAAACTCTCAGCCCTATTACACCGAGTTTTTTGAGCCTCTGATTAGGGACCCAAAAGGGACGCAAGCACAAGCACTTTATAGGGACATCCCTACCTTATTGGGCTTCATTATAAAGAGGTTTATCTGGGATATCCCTATCCTAATTTTTGCTTATGTGCTTTTTTGGGGCCCTATCTGAAGGATCTTCGGAAGAATGGACGAGATCTGTGCCAAGTACCAGGCCTTGCTGCTGCACAGCCCTAGATCATCGAGCCCCTAAACCCCAAACCCTGAACCTAAACCCTAAGCCCCAAATCCTAAACCCTAAACCCTAAACCCGAAATTTTAAACCCTAACTCCTAAACCCTAAACCCTCCTATCTTCCCTAAACCTGAAACCTACGAAAATTGTCGGGGGGGGGGGGGGGGCTGGGCTTGTCTGGGTATTCAAGAATCTGATCCTCACATCCTCGCTCCATTGAACCCCGCAGGTCTTTGCCCACCAAAACATCCTTTGAAGCCTTGGTTTTGACCCTAAACCCTAAACCCTAAACCCTAAACCCTAAACCCTAAACCCTAAGCTCTAAACCCTAAACCCTAAACCCTAAACCTCTTAAGTCAGCTCCCCTTCCTTCCGCTTGGCAGGAACGCCGTTCTTAGGTGTTCAGGGTTTGGGGGCCCTGTAGGATCTCCAATCAGGGGCAAACCTAAATGGGGGTTTCCGAAATGAGGGGGTTCCTTGTTGGGATGATAACGGAATCCTATGATTTTGGGGCCTATATTAGGGCCCATATTATTAGGGGTCCCTGATTGTCGTAAACTCCCAAGTAAGTGACATCTTCTCGTCTTAGTGAGACTTTTCTCGTCTTAGCCTTCAGTCTGAGGGTAGTTTCATGGGCCCTTAACATAGTCCCCAACCTCCTTTAAAGGGTTCACTGATGTCATCGTCTAACTCTATCAACCCCATAAACAACCCTATCTAACCCTATATAATCCTGTAAGCCCTATAAAGCCCTAACCACCCGCCACCTCCTCTAAATAAAGGGTCCCCAATCATCTTCTAGACATTTAGGAACAAAGAGAGTGTACCTTTTTTGGGTTTACACTTTTAAGGGCCCTTGCTAAAGGACCAAACCTCCTTTAAAGGAACCCCCAAAAAGGGTACCCTTTTTTCGGAACCGCCCATATATAACCCTATCAACCTTATAAAACCCTATATAAAAGCTATATAACCTTATAAAGCTATATAACACTTAAAAAACCTTATATATCCTGATATAACCTTATATAACCTTATATAACCCTTAAAAACCCTCGAAGCCCTATCCATGCTAACCCTGAACCCTGAACCCTGAACCCTAAACCCTAAACCCTAAACCCTAAACCCCAAACCCTAAACCCTAAACCCTAAACCCTGCACCCTAAACCCTAAACCCTAAACCCTAAACCCTAAACCCTAAACCCTAAACCCTAAACCCGAAACCCTAAACCCTAAACCCTAAACCCTAAACCCTTAACCCTAAACCTCCTTTAAAGGGTTCCCATGGAAGCTGCACCTTGGCAGGTAACGAAAATCGAGACTGTCGCCGAAGAGTACGTCGCATGTGTGGGCGTTCTTCCGAAGGCGCTCATCACGCCCTTTCTAAGCCCTAAACCCTAAACCCTAAACCCTAAAGCCTTAAGCCCTAAACCCTAAACCCTAAACCCTAAACCCTAAACCCTAAACCGTAAACCCTAAACCCTAAGCCCTAAAGCCTAAACGGCCGGCGCTCCTAAGTAGTGGGGGTACTCGGCACCTAAAGTCTATTTCTTAGGGCTTAGTACGTTCTAGTCGCTCAAAACTTCAGAAAGGTTGCACAACCCCGCTTCTGATGGGGAGTAAATCAAACTGCTGCTTCTCACAGTTGGGCAACGCCATACTGCACGATTCCCCTCTCATGGCAATGACTGCCCCGCACAGTCGACTTGTAGTTTATCACAAAATTTTCAGTTGCGTGCTTGCTGGCTTTGACCCAGTTCTCGCCTGAGAATGTCACGCGCTGGGCTGAGGCTTTGAAGCGTGTCGCTGCGAAGCAGCTGAATCTCAGTCTGTCGGACTCCATGCCAGCATGGGGCGGCGTCAAGGAAGGTCTCGTCATGGCGCAGCAAGGGATGAGCCGGTCTCGCCAGACTATGTGCTTCTCGAGACCAAATGGTGTTTGGGGCAAGCCCTGAACGCCTCGGGGGTGCTTGCAGGTTGGGGGTTTGGGGTCTAGGGTTTAGGGCTTAGGGTTTAATGAGTTGTAGGGGTTGCGGTCTAGGGGCAGGGGGCAGGTGTTTTGGTGTTTTCGAGGTCTTCAGAGATCAATCTTGATGAAATACATGGTGCGACGATGAACAGTGTGCGAGACACAGTGACAGAAGAGGTTGCAAAGAAGAGCAGACTGGACCTTTGTGTATTCCTAGCGTTACTCGCCTCTAGGCAACTAGCCAAGAGGAAGCCCTACCTAGGTAGCCAGTGGTACCCTTTTGCACTTTGATTGTTTCAAGGTTCCCTTATTAAGTAACCACCCCCAAAAAGGCGCCCTTGTTGTAATATGGTTATTGGGCTACCGAGCTACAGGGTTTGGAGCGAGGTAAACCCTAAACCCTAAACCCTAAACCCTAAACCCCAAACCCCAAACCCCAAACCCCAAACCCCAAACCCCAAACCCTAAACCCTAAACCCTAAACCCTAAAGCCCTACACCTTTTCAGCCCTTTTCCGGGCGAGCCCCTTGCAGGACCACGGCGAGATCGGAGACAAGGCTCCCTGCTTTTTTCGTTCTTCCGAGCTAGGGTTTAGGGTTTAGGGTTTGGGGTTTAGGGTTTAGGGTTTAGGGTTTGGGGGTTGGGCTTTGGGCTTTGGGCTTTGGGGTTAGGGTTTAGGGTTTGGGCTTGACGTTTCGGGGTTTAGGCTGTCGTGCGCATATGTCACGAGAAGTGGACACGTGGGGCGTCGGCCCGAGTCTCGATCAGGGTTGAGGTTGGCTGCATGCCTGCGCAGAGGATTCGAAAGCCCTAGCCCTAAACCCTAAACCCTAAACCCCAAACCCTAAACCCTAAACCCTAAACCCTAAACCTAAACCCTAAACCCTAAACCCTAAACCCTAAACCCTAAACCCTAAACCCTAAACCCTAAACCCTAAACCCTAAACCCTAAACCCTAAACCCTAAACCCTAAACCCTAAACCCTGAACCACGGACGTTCGGGATGTCGTGATTAAGTGTTTAGGCCCAGGCTTACACCCCTAAAACCCAAGTCTCCAACTAAAACCCTCAACCCTAGACCCTAAATCCTCAACCCCAAGCCCTAAACCGTAAACCCTAACCCAGACCCCTGGGAGGATCCAAAAGATCGAGCCCCCAGATAGCACCCTATACTACAATTGGGCCAATTTTAGGAACCCTTAAAAGGATCCATTTTTTGGATCCTCCCAGGGGTCTGGGAAACCCTAAACCTTCAACCCTAAACCCTAAACCTTTTTGAGGCTCCACGGAGGAGAGGGGCTAGACCTCGAAACGGTAGGGTTTTGGGTTTGGGGCTCCGGGTTGGAGGGTTTCAGGCTTTTTGGGATCAAGCCTTCAGGCTTCTAGGGTTTAGGGTTTAGGGTTTAGGGTTTAGGGTTTAGGGTTTAGGGTTTAGGGTTTAGGGTTTAGGGTTTAGGGTTTAGGGTTTAGGGTTTAGGGTTTAGGGTTTAGGGTTTAGGGTTTAGGACGCTGAACCGAAGGCCTGAGAGCCTAATGCCCTTGACCCCTTTTAGGGTTTCGGGTTTAGGGGCTGAGGGTTGAGGGCCCCTAAACCCTAAACCCTAAACCCTAAACCCTAAACCCTAAACCCTAAGCCCTAAACCCTAAACCCTAAACCCTGAACCCCAAACCCCAAACCCCAAACCTCAGAGGCTCACTACGACAAGTTGCTGGTGCGGATGTTCTTGGCCGCCAGTGAGATTCTGGACATGGAGAACCAGGATCGTGCCAAGTGGCCCATGCTCGAAATAACATGGTCGGTTCCCTAAACTATGGTCCCTTGGTTGGGTACCCTTTTAGAGAAGTGACCAGAATAGGGGGGAATCTGTCGGTTTAGCAGTCGTCCTGGCAGCTTCGTCTATTTGTCTCCATCTTCGGGTCCTGGCGCCTGAGGGTTTAGGGTTTAGGGTTTAGGGTTTAGGGTCTAGGGGTTTCTGGTAGTTTCAGGGGTGTTGCAGACACCAAGATGCTCCAAGTTGCAGTTGTTCGGGGCTTCCTCGCATGGCTGCTCGCATCCTTGCGTTCGGGGTTTTGCGGGGCTTACCCCAAACACAAAACCCTAAACCCTAAACCCTGAACCCTGAACCCTCAACCCTATATCCTAAACTCTAAACCCAAATCCTATATCCTAAACTCTAAACCCAAATCCTTTGTGGTTGTGGGCTGAGGGGGGTTGGTTTTGGCTGTGTCGGCAGGAGATTCAGGCCTGTGCAAGTTGCCTTTCTGGGTGGATCATTTTTTTCTCCACAATGCGAATTTTCCCTGCACCCTTGTACGTACGTAGCGTCAGCTACTAGGCAACGAACAGAGCAGCGAGTAGCCATGGGGTTAATGGGTCTAGGAAGTCGGGTTGAGTAGACTTCGGGTTTCGGGCCCTAGCATAAGTGGGCTATACGTAGCGGATCTCCTTCTACACATCTTTGAGCCCCACCGATTCTCTTTCGGCACTGAGGAATGCAAGCCGCAAACCCAAAGCCCTAAACCCTAAACCCTAAACCCTAAACCCTAAACGCTAAACCCTAAACCCTAAACCCCAAACCCTAAACCCTAAACCCTAAACCCTAAACCCTAAATGCTAAACCCTAAACCCTAAACCCTAAACCCTAAACCCTAAACCCCCCAAATCCTGAACCCCAAACCCCAAACCCTAAACCCGAAACGCCCCCTAAAAGCCGCTCACTCGCAGGACTTCCGCATGGGCGGCCAAAAAGTCCAGCTGAAGATGGGCACCCACACCGGGAAGATCATCGCGGGGGCGCCTCGGACGGGGAACGGCCGTCCTTGGGCCTTCTGAGTATGGACTGAAAGGCCCTACACCCTAAACCCTAAACCCTAATTAAAGTCCGGAGCCCTAAGCCCGACGCCCTAAGCCCTAGGCCCTAGGCCCTAGGCCCTAGGCCCTCGGCCCTAGGCCCGAGGCCCTAGGCCCTAGGCCCTAGGCCCTAGGCCCTCGGCCCTAGGCCCGAGGCCCTCCTAGGCCCTAGGAGGAGCGCAGGCAGATAGTACAGGTAAACGCCATTGCAGCCGGGAGGTCAGACAACATGCAAGTTCTTCCTGTCGCCAAATGGTTGCAAGCTTGGGTCAAAATGCCGTACTCCTCACACCTTGGAAGCGCTGTCTAAAGCTGAGCGTGCCAAGAAATGCTTAACGTGCGGCTCGGAAGCGCATCGCCAAAGGGACTGCACCGCTGGCAAACCAGGCCAGATGCGAAGGCCCCTAACTCCGAGCAGGAAGCAGAGCAACCCGCTTCACCACCCCTAGGCCCTAAGCGCTAAGCCCTAAGTATTAAGCCCTAAGCCCTAAGCCCTAAGCCCTAACCCTAAGCCCTGAGCCCTGAGCCCTGAGCCCTGAGCCCTCAGCCCTAGGCCTTGAGCCCAAGCCTTAAGCCCTAGGCCCTAAGCCCTAAGCGCCCCAAGAGCCTAAGAGCCTTAAGAGCCCTCACAGCCCTAAGAGCCCTCAGAACCCTAAGAGCCCTAAGAGCCCTAAAGGGCTCTAAGAGCCCTAAGGGCTCTAAGAGCCCTAAGAGCCTTAAGAGCCCTAAGAGCCCCAAGCTCTGCCCGAAACCCGATCAGGTCATCGGGAAGAAGCTTCCCCGTTTCCGTCTCTTCGGTGATACCATCAACACCTCGGCCAGGACCAAGGGTTTAGGGTTTGGGGTTTAGGGGTTTAGGGCTTCCGCCGGTTTAGGGTTTAGGGTTTAGGGTTTTAGGGTTTAGGGGTTTAGGGTTTAGGGTTTAGGGTTTAGGGTTTAGGGAGCCTGAAGCCCGAAAATACCCTGCTGACTCAGTGAGGATGATGCAGAAGAGCAAGCCTGGGAACCTGATGTTCGGTGAGGAGATGGGGGGGCGGACTCTCGGGGTTTAGGGTTTGGGTTTAGGGGCTCTCCCTTGGGGGTTGCTTCAGGGTGTTTGAGCCCCGCAAAAGTGTAGGGTTTATGGGTTCCTTCAGGGTGACCAAACGGTCCCCAGCTTTAAGGGTTTAGGGTTTAGGAAGCGCCAAGCCCTAAGCACCTGAAGCAGGAGAACCATCCCTGCACGGAGGGCTGCAACCATGGGGTTTAGGGTCTTGGGTTTCGGGGGGGTACGGCCTCAGAGCTAACCCTCATTATATCCCCTAAGCCCTAAACCCTAAAACCTGAACCCCAAACCCCAAACCCCAAACCCCAAAACCGAAACCCGAAACCCGAAACCCTAAACCCTAAACCCTAAACCCTAAACCCCGAAAGTAAGTTCTCAAACCAGCAGGAGACGAACCAGGTTCTCCCGAGCTGCATTCCAGCCCGCAAGGCCTCAACAGATCTCAGGGTTTAGGGTCCTGAGGTTTAGGGTTAAAGAGTTTAGGGCTTGAGGTGTAGGGTATAGGGCTTAGGGATTGTTTGCGTTTCAGGCTCAGGGTTTAAGGTCCCTGGGCTATGGGGTTATAGGGTTTGAGGTGTAGGGTATAGATAGGGTTTAGAGTTTCGGGTTTAGGGTTTCGGGTTTAGGGTTTAGGGTTTAGGGTTTTTTGGGGCATCTTTGGCCCGATGGCAAACCTGGGTGGCGCTGTTGGGTCGCCGGGTTTCCACGGGTGGGTCATGGGGCTTCCACAGGGTTCAGGGTCTAGGGTTTAGGGTTTGAATTTTAGGGGTTTAGCAATTCTGGTGGATTCAGGGTTTGGGGTTTAGGAGTTTGGGAGTCTGGGGGTCCACGGTTCAAGTAAGGTCGTTGGCTGCCTTGTTACATCCCGAGGCTTATGTGCTCTTGAGGACTTCATGAGTGTACTGAGTGCCCCTGCCCATATAAACCCTAAGCCCTAAGCCCTACTGAGTTTATAGGGCTTAAGGGCTTCAAGTTCTATGGCCCCCGACCCCCGTCCCCTGCCCCCGTGGTGTGGAAGATTATGAGTTGCACTTAGGGTTTGGGGTTTAGGTTTAGGGTTTAGGGGTTTAGGGTTTGGAGGTTGAGCACAGGAGACGGTGAAGCGCTTTCAGATGAAACGGAAGGATTCAGAACAACCACCCGAACCCTAAGCCCAAAACCCTAGAAGCTTCGTGGTAACATGCACTGCACCGAGCAAACTCCTGCGTCCAACCCCTCAAATCCCTCTCGTCAATCCCTCTACTCCTAAAAGCCCCAAACCCCTGAGCCCTCGAAATCCTAAACCCTAAACCCTAAACCCTAAACCCTAAACCCTAAACCCTAAACCCTAAACCCTAAACCCTAAACCCCCTTGAAGAGAGCTCTCGAAACCCTCCAACTCTTGAAATCTTTCTCTCTCCGGCAGGGCGAGAAGGTGGTCATGAAAGGCAAGGGGGAGGCGCGATATTCCGGGTTTTAGGGTTTGGTGTCTTTACTCTAAACCCTGAACCCTAAACCCTAAACCCTCAACCCTAAACCCGAAACCCTAAACCCTGAACCCTAAACCCTGGGTTTGGGGGGGGTTTGCCTCACTCCTAAAGCCGAAGCCCTAAACACGAAGTTGAATGAACCAATACAAGGGTACCGTTTTTTTCCCGGCTTTGGGACCGCTTCGGGCTTAAGGGGATAGGGGTTTACTGGGTTTAGAGGGTTGGTATCGAATCCAAGAAAGGGGCACCCTTGTTATAATGGGCTTTAGGGTTTAAGGTTTAAGGGTCAGGGTTTAGGATGTAGGGTTCTAGGTGACATGATACAATCAGGACGTGGACACAGAGTCCCCGTCCCCGTCCCCGGTGCTCAGTGACCATGCGGAGCTGGCGGAGTCTCTTGAGCCGTTCGCGCCTCCGCAGCAGGGGATGGTGAGGGAGGCGCAAGACAAGCCTCTTCGTTGCTCCAGGGGAGGAGAAGGATGACGCAGCACAGGCCACTGCTCCTCTCCCTGCACCGCTGGCGCCTGACACTTCTGCGCCCGCCCCTGGCACGCAGGAGGGCACAGAACAAGCCTTTCGTTCCCTCCAGGGGTGCAGGACATAGAGCTTCTAGGGTTGTATAGGGTTATAGGGTTATACAGGGCTTATATATAGGGTTCATAGCGTTTCTTCTTTTAAGTTCATCCCTTTCCACCAGGTCTTCGGTCTGGTTCTCTGACCTGATAATCCCTGTCGAACTACAATACGCGCTGACATAGACTATGCGATAAACATACTAAACATATCCAGCACTATGCTTTTAGTCCCGGAAAAATTCGGCTAGATTATTGCACGATTTGCAAAAAATGTAGGCATTTAGGTTCACATCGTCTCTATAACTTGCCAACATGAGGGTTTGGGGTTTGGCTGGTTTCAAAGCCGATTTGACATGGGGGTAGTTTATACAAGACAAGTTAGGCTCATAAACAGAGTAACCAGTCCGCAAGTCAAAAGAACTGTCACGCAAGGCACCCCCAAGCCCCCTAATCCCCCTCCAAAACCCTCTGAACCCTCGAACCCCCCTAAACCCTCTATACCCTCTAAACTCCCTAAACCATCTAACCCCCTGAGCCCCCCAACAAACACCCTAAGCACAACCCCGTAAGCCCAACATCCCTTAAACCCTAGACCCTAAGAACCCCAAAAAACCCTAAAACCCTACAAGCCGTAAGCCCCCTGAAATCCCTAAACACTAAACCCCAAACCCCAAACCCTAAACCCCAAACCCTAAACCCAACAAACCCGAAGCCCTAAACCCTAAACCCTAAACCCTAAACCCCAAACCCTAAACCCTAAACCCCAAACCCTAAACCCTAAACCCTAAACCCTAAACCCCAGGTCGAGGTCTACTACTTCGACCGCGCCGGCTTCCAGGCCGCGGAGGCCAAGCGCCTCTTGGAGGACCCCAGTTTGGGGTTTAGGGTTTGGGGTTTGGGGTTTAGGGTTTAGGGTTTGGGGTTTAGGGTTTGGGGTTTGGGGTTTCGGGTTGCGGGTTTGTTGGGTTTAGGGTTTAGGGTTGAGGGTTTGGGGTTTGGGGTTTCGGGTTGCGGGTTTGTTGGGTTTAGGGTTTAGGGTTGAGGGTTTGGGGTTTGGGGTTTCGGGTTGCGGGTTTGTTGGGTTTAGGGTTTAGGGTTTGGGGTTTGGGGTTTAGGGTTTAGGGGATTCCGAGGTTTAGGGGTTAGGGTTTAGGTCTAGGGTTTGTTGGGGTTAGAGTTTAGCCTACAGACCGCACATTACGCCGCAGCCCAGGACATGTCGCTTAAACTGCGCACACCGAGACATCGTGGCTTTTGGGCTTAAAATTCAGCGCGCCCTCCACGCGGTTGCGCTTTCCCGCCAATCCATGCCTGCACGATGATAACGTCCGTGTGACCAGTGCGTAAGACACGCCCAAAGCACTGTACCCTCAAGGACACGCCCAAAGCAGTATACCCTCACTGGGAGGGGTTTCGGGTTTCGGGGGTTGTAGGGTGAGGTTTTGTTGGGTTTAGGGGTTAGGGGTTTAGGGGTTAGGGGTTAAGGGTTAAGGGTTTAGGGTTTGTTGGGTTTAGGGTTTAGGGTTTGTTGGGTTTAGGGTTAAGCGTTCAGGGTGTAGGGGTTTGGGGCTTAGGGTTTGTTGGGTTTAAGGTTTGTAGGGTTTTGTGTTGGTAGGGTGTGAGGTTTAGGAGGCTAGGGGTTCAGGGTTTATCACGTAGCCGCCGGAGCCACCAGGTACGGTGCCATGGTTCCAGGTTGGGCTCGGGTTGGGGGATGTTAGGTTTTGGATTTAGGGTTTTTGTGTTTTCGGGATTTATGGTTTACGGGTGTTAGGGATTTAGTGGTTAGGAGTTGGGAGTTTAGGGTTTAGGGTTGAGGGATTTGGGTTTAGAGGTTTCGGTTTATGTGCATGTGCAGCGTCGGCGCATGCTACGCGGTCGTTGTCTCGTGGCAACTCGTTTGCGTTCAGGTTGCGACGGAGTCTGCTTCCTAGGTAGGATAAGGGGGACCCTTAAAAGGGAACCCCTTCTTAACCCTCTTCTGGCTCTCTTAAACAGGGACCTTATTCAGAGGGTCTATGTCCCCAAGGGGCCCCTTAATCTTAGCCCCTACTGCTAGGCATCACCCCTAAACCCTAAACCCTAAACCCTAAACCCTAAACCCTAAACCCTAAACCCTAAACCCTAAACCCTAAACCCTAAACCCTAAACCCTAAACCCTTAAACCTAAACCCTAAACCCTAAACCCTAAACCCTAAACCCTAAACCCTAAACCCTAAACCTAACCCTAAACCCTAAACCCTAAACCCTAAACCCTAAACCCTAAACCCTAAACCCTAAACCCTAAACCCTAAACCCTAAACCCTAAACCCAACCCTAAACCTGCTCGAAGGAGAAGGGCACCGAAGAGCCCCGGGCAAAGACGGGTGAGGACCGGTTTTTCATGGTTTCGGATTTAGGGTTTAGAGATGAGAGTTTAGGGTTTAGGGTTTCATAGGGTTTAGGATGAATTAAGGGTTTAGAGATGAGAGTTTAGGGTTTAGGGTTTCAGGTTTAGGGTTTAGGATTAATTAAGGGTTTGGAGATGAGAGTTTAGGGTTTAGGGTTTCAGGTTTAGGGTTTAGGATTAATTAAGGGTTTAGAGATGAGAGTTTAGGGTTTAGGGTTTCAGGTTTAGGGTTCAGGATTAATTAAGGGTTTAGAGATGAGAGTTTAGGGTTTAGGGTTTCGGGTTTAGGGTTTAGGCTCCCTAAGCACAAAGCCTTCAAAAGCCGCACAACCTCGACCTTTCAGAATGTCCCCTAGTGGGGCACCCAGCCGACGAGATGGGGAAAGAGGTTTAGTGTTCAGGGTTGAGGGTTTTTACGGCAATGATGAATGCACTTGGCACATCGTCACGCATCGCGGAGGTGGCACGGTAGCGGTTCTTACGAGGGCAACGCTGAAGCGTTGTTATATGGCGGTTTACGCACATGGGGTCATACCTACCCCCTAAGCCCTAACCCTTGTGCTTTACCTGGATGTTCCCCTTATACTAAGAGTATCTAGCAGTCCTTAATAGGAATTAAAGTACTCCCGATTACATTCCCTATTAAGGACTGCTAGTATAAGGGGGGAACAGCCCAAGTTTAGGCGCGGGGCGTTCTTCAGGGACCTCGACAGAAATGGCTGGGAGAAGTTCGCACGGGAGGTGGATGAACCCTAAACCCTTAACCCTAAACCTAAACCCTAAACCCTAAGCCCTAAGCCCTAAACCCTAAACCCTAAACCCTAAACCCTAAACCCTAAGCCCTAAACCCTAGACCCTAAACCCTAAACCCTAAACCCTAAACCCTAAACCCTACAAAACCCTAAACCCTAAACCCTAAACCCTAAACCCTAAACCCCTAAGGATCTCCAAATCTCACGCCTGGGGCCACTGGCCCCTCAAGACGAGCTTTGGGGAACTGCGGCTTGAGTTTGGCTGCCTCGTTGGTCAGTTGGCGATAGAGGCAAGAAATCCTTCAGAGGCCTTGATGGGGACTCAAATCTCGTGTTTTTGTTTTAGGGCTACTTGCCCAAGCGCCCCCTTGAATGGCACTTGGCGCATTTTTTTTGCTTTTGCTTTTGGGGGGGGAGCTGTTTGTGGGAGCCTTGTTGTGGATTGAGGGTTTAGTGTTTGGGGTTTCGCGAGAAGGACGAGAGACAGCAAGAGGTGAACGAAGTCATCCAGCAGGTGTTCGACTCCAGTCGCCTGGACTGCACTCTGCGCTTGCCGGGCTCTGGAATGCCAGAGTCTGGGATGTGCCCCCTTCTTCTAACAGTCCTTAATAGGGATTATAGAATCCCCTGTTATAATCCCTATTAAGGACTGTTAGAAGAAGGGGGGAACATCCAAAACTATAGGGTTCTTAAGGGAGGGGGGTCCAAGGGGGGGTAGGTATCCCAAGGTCCTTGCCAAGGCTCCCTAAGCTTCCCTAAGGTTCCCTCGGTGCCTGATGCCCCCCTCCCTTAGGGTTTAGGGTTTAGGGTTTAGGGTTTAGGGTTTAGGGTTTAGGGTTTAGGGTTTAGGGTTTAGGGTTTAGGGTTTAGGGTTTAGGGTTTAGGGTTTAGGGTTTAGGGTTTAGGGTTTAGGGTTAGGGAGCTATGGTCCATAGACCCTAAATCCTCAACCCTAAACCCCAGACAAGGTCGTAAACAAACCTAGCCGAAGCCCTAAGCTTCTTAAGGGTGATGGTCATGACTGTATATATACCCTTTGGTCAGCGAACACTCAGTGCGGTCGCATGGGTCGCCATTTGGAACCCTAAGCTTGGGATGTTCACCCTTATCCTAACCTAACAGTCTTTACTAGGAATGTGAATTGCCAAGGGCAGTGTCATGCATGAACGCTCTCGACCTTGTGCTGCGCCGCTCCTTCATCAGATCAAGCCTTTAGAAAAAAATTAGGAGGCCATCGTCCAATACGTGGCGGAAGTCAGGCCGAGCATGCAATGGCAAGCATTCGGGAACAGAGGCCATTTTGCGGGGATTTCGGAAGCACCTTATAGACAAGGGGCATGATGATGATGAGTGGAAGGCCATTGCCGAGAGCTCTGAGATTCCCGCAAAGTACTTCCAACCCCTTAATGGTGGAAGTGCCCGCGATGAGACTTGCATCAATGAGTGTGTCAGCCGAGTCCTTGGGCCAGGCATTTGGCTTCGGTACGAATGTTATGATGATGACTTTCGTGTTCGGGGGAATCCATTTTGGAATTTACTGAACCGGTAGGGACTAGAGATGGTTACGCCGCATTCCATGGGCGGCATGTTGCGGCTAGTGACTCCGATTACGAAGATTGGGCACGTCAGTATGCCGCAGATCCATCAAAGCTTGTGTGTCGCTTGTGCGGTTGCAACGCTGCTGAATGCGGATGGCAAAAGCGGGGTAAGAAAGTAGTTCATATCGCCAGATGGCGATTGATTGCTTTACGCGATGCTGCGCTCTTGGATTGGAGCTCAGCGGCCGCTTTTGAGTAATTGCGTGTGAATGTGCACCACGCCCGCACCGTGGTGAAGAAGAAAATAGGCAAGCAGGCGCCGCAGGGCAAGCCTGTAGTAGAGCAGAGGGGTCCAGTAGAGAGTGGGCCGCCCAATTCTGAGCAAGTAACGGCCAGTGCCCGAAGTCACGGGGAGAGAATTCGTGAAGCCCTGAGATGCGGGGAGCCAAGCTTGCTGGACCAAGTCAGCAATGCCGGGGTGGGTGTGCCCGTTGTCGGAGCTGGGTTGCTTTGGAAAGATGTGGGCGGAAAGCGGCCCGATGAGGCCGAACGAGGTCGTGAGCGCCAAAGACAAGCCAAGCGCAAGACTGACGTGCAGCAGGGCTTGGTTGCTTTAGCTGCGGGATCTAAGGGCATTGCTAGGATGAACTTTGTCCAACAGATTTCCAGCGAAGAGGACGAGGCCGCAAAGCCTAATGCTAGCTCCCGAGACAGGAAGCGGAAGAAGTGCAAGCGTGATGGAAGGCGGAGGAGGTCCTCGTCAAGTCGACCCAGCTCAAGGAGTTCTTCTTCGTCCGTTGTTGCCACCAGGGATGGAGGTGTTGAGTCCCTGGCAGTGGCCTCAAGGAAGAAACCAGGGAAGCTTCTTCGGTCAGGACTGATGGAGATGAGACAGTATCTCTTGGACCATGGTGGGGCTGCCGCGAGCCAGGACAGCGTCGGAGAGGACTGGAGATCCACGAAAGTGGGGGCATACATCAGTCAAGTTCTGTTCGTGAACCATTCTCCCGACACCGTGGGCATTCGAAATGCCAGGGAGATTGTCACCCTGGCCACTTGCCTTGATCATCTTTTGAGTGGTCAGCTGGCACGTGCAGGGGACGTCCTCATGCAGCGCCTCAAAGCAGTTGAGTCCTCCCTGACTGATGGCTGGTCAGTAGCCCGGCATAATGAGTTAATTCCGCCGGCGCGGCCTGCAATCGCCAATGATCGTGAAAGGGATTTTGCGGCCAAGGCAGCTTTGAGAGCCGCTCGGCTCCAAGAAAGCTTGCAGAAGGCTCGGGTCCAAAAAGTCGGGCTCGGGGTTAGGCGGCCAACTGGCTCTTCCCTCCAAGAGCCTGGGAAAGGCTCCGCGCCCCCTTCTGGCGGGAAGGGGGCCGATCGGCGTCGCAAGTAAATGCAGGAGATGCGGCCCTTCGTGGTTGGCTGTCCACGCAAGGGATGGCGCAAATGACAGCAGCGCAGGCGGGCATTTTGCTAGCCACTTGGTTTTTCAAAGATACAAAGGCTTTCCCTGAAGGCTCACAGCCGCTTTTTATTCGTTCTATTTACCGAGGGCATGGCATAAACTGTTCGCCTTTGAGAAATCAGTCAGACTGTGTGATGTTTTGGAGGGCTCCTCAGACACGTCTCAGGTTTGGCTGGCAGCCACGGTCATGCCGATGGGATGGCTGTCGGCCGTGGGTATTCTGCAACATGCCCATCGGCGCATGGCGACCGCAGTGGGGAGCCTGCGGCTGCCACTTCGATCGGAGATCCGACGCGATGCGCCTTTACCAGACACGGGTTTGGCAGAACTCTCGCGGCTCTGGCATGTATATCTAGACGATTCAACTTTTCTTGATTGGGTTGGCGAAGACCAGTTAAAAGTTAAAAGCTGACCGAGACCACCGAGAGGAGTCTCCCCTGCAACGCGTGCTGCGACGAGTGTACGGAGAGCAAGGTGTGCCTTGGTCGTCCGACAAGTCAGTCACGCGCCAGACCAAAGCCACACGACTGGGTGTGGTCATTGATGGGGAGCATGGCAGTCTGGGGGTCAGCGTGGAAAAGAGGCTAACCTTGTTCCAGCTTGGTGTCTTTCTGTTATGTCAGCAAAAGGTCTCCAAAAGGCCATTCAAGTCTTCCTTGGCAAACTCACACACGCGTTGCAGTTTCGGCGCCCAATGTTTTCTTTCTCCTTCAACTTTTGTGGAAGAGAGTCTTAGGCCCACCGATGGGTGGCCCATTTTCGGAGGAGCGCAGAGAAATTTTCATGGTGATGGCGATGCTGCCTCAGCTGCAAACAAACCTACGTGCTCGTATTTCAGGCTTGGTGACAGCCTCAGATGCCTCGGAATATGGTGGGGGAGTGTGTGCTGGAGAGCGCGTCACAGCCATAGGACAACATGTGCAAGTGCAGGAGCGTTATCTTCTTCGTAGTTTTCCTTGCACAAGTGGGGTCTTGCTGTTTGAGTGGTGCGGGGGCATCGTCTGCGCAGAGCCATCGATTTGCTCCATATTCCCGTCATAAAGACAGTGTGTTGCGATTGCGATGTCTTTTCGCAGCGTGTGTACCGCGCAACCTGGGGACTTGAGACCCTGTGGCCAAAGCTCTCCGATGTTCGGCGCGAGCATGTGCACCAACTTCTGAGTGAAATGCCTCATGTCAGTTTTGTCATCCAAGGTGAGAGCACTTGCGGCCAGCGCTGGGAGCATGATGGCATCTCGGCGGCTCCGCTGCGCTGGGCCTCCTCCACGAGTTGACAGAGGTACAAAATTGGGTAGTGCAGTACTGTGCTGAACGGCAAATCAGTCATTTTGCTTACGTGGAAACCATGCCCTGCGACTTACCCATGGACAACGAAGCCATTCAACACAACAGGGTGTCCTATCTTTTGTGCAGTAGTGGTTTCTCATTGGCTCGGCGACCGAGGTTCTTCTGGACGAGTCATCCGCTCGAGTTGATCCCGGAGGCGACTTTCGAATTTCGCACCTCGGGCACTGTTATTCAGGCTGCCGGATCGTGTGAGCCTGTGGTATCTTGGCTGCCCGTGCCCTGGAACTGGCCGGCAGGGGAAGCTAACGACAAGTTGCGTTTTCCGAGCTTTACTGCCGCCTGCCCAAAAGCGCCCGAGCCGTGGCATTGGCCCATTGTGAGTGGGAGTCGACTGATGTTCAAACCAGATGGAAAAATGATTCTTGTCGGTTTCCAGTGGAGACGTATTCGGATCAATTTCTTGTTGCTGCCGGGCCCGCCTTTCGAATCTTGTGCGCAGCAGAAAGGGAAGCGCTTTCAGGCTTTCCTAAAAGCCACACTCGATCGGTCCTCAAAATAGTCAAGGGCCAGGCAGGTGAGGCGGTCCGGTTGGACCTCCTTGGGCGAGCGCCGCATTGTGGGAGTGTGGCTTGCGTGTTGCTCATGGGGCTGCCGGGGGCAGGGTGGAGTGACCGTTTGCCCTCCTTTAAAGAAGCCTGGGACATGCATTTGTACGAACTGGCCTCATGGCCTTCCGAAAAGCCCTCTGATGCACTTCCCTCGGATGTTGCGCCGGCTCAGGTGTATGATTCCGTGGAGGAGACTGAGACTTGCTTCAAGCACGGGGTGCTAGAAGCTGGACTGCTTCTTTCTATTCAGGACTCTGCAGCCCCCTTGCAGCATTCAGACACGTTTTTGCCACGTTTCTTTCTCCGGCGAGCAGAGTACAGAGGCTCCGACATCAGGTTAGACACGGGCATGTTGCTGCATCCTGAGCGTGCTCCGCGCACCACGGTTAATCCTCACTTCTGGAAGTGGAAGCCAGTGCTGCGTTGGAGATGGAAACACAGGGATCGCATTAACCTACTAGAGTTGCAGGCGTACCTCAAAACTCTCAAGTGGCGTGTGCGCTGTTTCCAGATCAGATTCTTGCATTTTCTTGACAGTCAAGTGTGCTTGGCTCTCCTGGTCAAGGGCCGCTCCAGCTCCCGCAGGGTCAATCATGTTTTGCGCAAGATTGGGGCTTTGGTGATTGCTGCGGACTTGTTAGGAATTCATAGTTTCTGCAAGTCCGAGTTTAACCCTGCAGATTTGCCTTCCCGTGGCCATGGTTCGTAGAGCGGCGACTGTGGTCACCAATAGCAAAGAACGCAGGCAGCAATATCGTTCAAAACTGGGCACACTTCAAAGCAGCTTGGTCCAACAGACCACTGAACAGCGATATGCAAAATGGTTTGAACTGTTCGTTTTGTTTCTGCAACAAGAATTGGGGCACCTGCCTGCGGCGATGACAGATTATGATTTGGGGCTGGGTCGCTACATTCAGTTTTTGTGGCAAGATGGAGAGCCCAAGTCCGCAGCGTCTGTCACTCTCGCTGCAGTACAGCATTTTGTCCCTTCTCTGAAGCGGAATCTGCCTGGAGTTGGTGGCCCAAGTCCAAATGGGACTCACTGGAATTGCCGTGTCAGGCCAGTCCTCTCACAGCTTCGTGCTTGTTTGCTTTGGTTGAACAGGCGTGTCAGTGGGGCTGGGAACGCCTTGCTTATCTCATGTTGCTCATGTTTCTGGGCTTTCTGCGCACAGGGGAAGCTTTGTCACTGTTGTGCAAACACGTTGCTATCACAGCCAAAGGCGTCGTACTTACCTTGCACCGCACCAAGGGTGCGCAGCGAGCAAACGAGCCATGTGAGGAGATTGTCCTCGCAGACCCACTGGCCGTCTTGGCGGCAACCATCTTGTGTTCCGGCAGTAAGCCCGGTGATGCTCTGTCTGGACTGAGCTCGTATAAATTCCGTAGTCAGTGGTTTCAGCTCTTGCAACATTTTGAGCTGCAGGGGCATGGGTTTCGCCCACATTCCTTGCGAAGAGGGGGAGCAACGCATTTTTTTACACAGACAGAAATTTAGCAGCCACCATTTTAGTTGGTCGCTGGAAGCATCTCAGCACGGCTCGGCTCTATTTGAAAGAGGCTAAAGCTGCCTTACAACCCATAACTTTTCCCAGGGCTGTTTCACAGCGGCTTTCGCAAGCGTCGGCAGCCGGTGTTCGGCGTCTTCGACGCCAGATCGGGCCAAGATGATTCGGTTTCACTTGACGTCTGTTTCATCCAATGTCCGAGTGGCTGTCATGTAGGCCTTCCATTGAAGGGCGGCCTTGCCAGCAGATTCAAACTGCACTGGACCGGAGAAATGGGGAGTGAGCTGAATGCATGTGAATTGCCAAGGGCAGTGTCATGCATGAACGCTCTCGACCTTGTGCTGCGCCGCTCCTTCATCAGATCAAGCCTTCCCGCCCTTAGCGGCCCTTGACGCTCTGGACAGCATGGGTGGAAGGGGAAGCGGGTAGCAGGCGAGCAGGAGTCCACTTCCTGCACAGCTCACTTGCAGTGATGCCCTGGCAGTGGCAGCCTTTCCAAGATGATTCGGTTTCACTTGACGGAAGCGGGTAGCAGGCGAGCAGGAGTCCATTTCCTGCACAGCTCACTTGCAGTGATGCCCTGGCAGTGGCAGCCTTTCCAAGATGATTCGGTTTCACTTGACGTCTGTTTCATCCAGTCAATGTCTTAGCCGAGTGGCTGTCATGTAGGCCTTCCATTGAAGGGCGGCCTTGCCAGCAGATTCAAACTGCACTGGCGCGGAGAAATGGGGAGTGAGCTGAATGGGGGGGGTACTATATTCCCTAATAAGGGCTGTTAGTATAAGGATGAACATCCCAACCCTAACTAAGCCCCAGGCCCTTAACCCCAAACCCCAAAACCCAGAATGCGACTGCGAGGCGAACCCACTGGATGGCTCCTGTCCCACAAGGCCCGGTGGTGCGGGCATGATGTGCTTTTGGCTTTTAGGGTCAGGCTTCAGGAGTTTAGGGGTTAGGGGGTTTAGGGGTTTAGGGGTTTAGGGTTTAGGGTTTAGGGTTTAGGGGTTGAGCGATTTAGGCTTTCAGGGTTTAGGAGTTGGGGTTTACGGAGGGTTGGGTTTTGAGGTCTTCGGCTTCAGAACCCTAAACCCTAAACCCTTAAGCCCTCAGACCCTCCGCAGGAAGGGTTTACCAACGACACAGCAGAGCTGGCGAACCCCAATACCAAGATGTTCTCCGAGGCAGCCGTAGCTGGAGGGGTTTCCATGGGGCGCTTAACAACCCTAAACCCTAAACCCTAAACCCTAAACCCTAAACCCTAAACCCTAAACCCTAAACCCTAAACCCTAAACCCTAAACCCTTGAACTGCGTAAAGTTGAAGGAGGGGGTTGACTCTCGGGGCAGTTTTCCGAGGTCTCAGGGTGGAATTTCGGGTTTCTGTGGTCGTCGGAAGCCGAGTTGGCCTCGGGCTGAAGAAGCGAGTCGCCCCAAACCAATAAAACCCTCGCCCCCTAAACTCTAAACCCTGGCCGGGTTCATGAGAATTTCAGAAACTCCACCGTCCCCCAATTCGGGACTATTCCTTCAGTTGTCTGGGGATCGCCCATGACATTCTAAGGAGTGTTCGACTCGGGTTTAGGGTTTAGGGTTTAGGGTTGAGGGTTTAGGGTTGAGGGTTGAGGGTTTAGGCTTTAGGGGATCATGGGGTGTCTGGGTTCCTCATCGTTGCTTGTTTAGGGTTTAGGGAAAGTTTCCACTGTTGCAAATCGACCCAGAACTGGTTTTTTTGGTTCTGCCCGCGCAGAAGATGCTGCTTGAGGCATGGACGTTGACTGTAGGGTGTGGGGGTTTAGGGGGTTCAGAGTGTAGGAGTTCAGGGTTGCCCTTAAACCCTAAAGCCAAAATTTCGGGTTTAGGGGTTAAGGGGGTTTAGGGGTTTAGAGGCTTTGGGTTTTGCAGGCGCCGGCTTGCGATGCCAGAAGATCGTTTCCGGTCTAATGCGGCGCGCCTATCTCCAACTCAAAAAGGGAGAAATCTTGCGAATTCTGATAGGTGTTTAGGGTTCAGGGCGTAGGGTTTAGGGCTTGCAATTTAGGTCGCAGGGTTTCGGGCTTGGGGTTTAGGGTTTAGGGTAGGGAATTAGAGTCCCCAACCTGAGCCCTTGAAGGTTTATCTGGGCATAAGGTACCCACCCCCCGCCCCCTAACCCTAAACCCTAAACCCTAAACCGAAAAAAAACCTAAACCCTAAACCCTCAACCCCAAATTTCCCAAATCGAACACCGCTCACTCCTCGTCCGAACACTTTAGGGCTTATCAGACGTAGGACTTTGTAGGACTTTTAGCAACCCTCCAAGCCTAAAACCCTAAGCCCCAAACCCCACACCCCATACCCCAAACCCTAAACCCTTTAAACCCTAAACCCTAAACCCAAAATCTAAGCCCTAAACCCTAAACCCTAAACCCCAAAATCTAAGCCCTAAAAACCCTAAACCCCTGAACTGAGCTCCCAACCCTAAGAGGAGCCACCCTGTACGCAGGCGGAGTTCCAAAGCAGCTTCCACTGCGAAGTCTCCGGGCTGCAGGGTTCAGGGTTCAGGGTTTAGGGTTTTGGGTTTAGGGTTTAGGGTTTAGGGTTTGGGGTTCAGGGTTTAGGGTTTAGGGTTTGGGGTTTAAGGGGTTTTCTTGGTCATAGTTGGGTAACATTTTACATTTTTAAGGGTACTTAAACTCAATAAGGAATAAAGTTTTATATTGTTAATACTATCCCAACCATGAACTAGCAAAGTTTGAGGGTTTAGGGTTTAGGGTTTAGGGCTTAGGGGTTAGGGGTGAGGGGGTTTAGGGTTAGGGCTCACGTAAAGGCTCAGGGAACTTAGCAACCAGGTCACGAATCAAGTTTTTTTGGTGTGGATGGTTCCCACAATTGGGGTGGTTATGGCCCTGTTTGTGACCTACTTGCTCGCAAAAGCCCCCCAAAGTCCTCAGCCAGACCGGAGCCCACAAAACCCCACTAAACCCCACTCATCGCGCATAACATGCTCGCCAGGCTCCCTGATGCGTTTACTTGTAGGAATCGGGTACGGGGTCTTCAATGCTCGGTTTAGGGTTGACTTGCAAACCCCCCCCCCCCCCCGAGGTACCCGTTAAGATGTCCCAAAATAGCTTTGTTAAGGCACCCTCGAGGCCCTTAGTTCAGGGTTTAGGGTTTAGGGTTTAGGGTTGGCTCTTGAAAAGTTTCCCAGCCGAGGGGAGTTCGGGCTGGAGGCCTGGTTTGGGGCTTTGAGGGTAGCTTAGGGCTCAACCCTCAACCCTCAACCCTCTACTGTTGAATGGCACACTCAAGCCACACGCAAGAGCGTTTTGGCCAAGATCGCACTAACAGCTACGCGTTTCGTCCTCTGGTGGGACTCGTTCAGGCTAGCGATCTGTAGCCGAAAACATCTCATGGCAACACACCTCACAAGCACATGAGCGCATGCGAAGTGTTGAAACACTCAGCGACAGACATACCCTAAACCCTAAACCCTAAACCCTAAACCCTAAACCCTAAACCCTCAACCCTCAACCCTCAACCCGCAACCCTCAACCCTCAACCCTCAACCCTAAACCCAAACCCTAAACCCTAAACTAAGGGCAACCCTCAACCCTAAACCCTAAAACGCCCCTGGGTCCCCCGCGCAGTGCCCAGGCCTTCGTCCGAAAGTTCCGGTCGCGCCTCCATCGCCAGGTGCTCCTCATGGTGTGGAACCCCAGAGTTTGGGGCGTTTGGTGTTTAGGGTTTAGGGTTTGGGGTTTAGGGTTTGGGGTTTAGGGTTGTGGAGGTTTTGGGCTTTAGGGTTTGGGGTTTAGGGTTTCGGGTTTAGGGTTGTGGGGTTCAAGGTTGGGGTTTGGGGTTTAGGGTTTAGGGTTTCAGGTTTGGGGTTTGTTTAGGGTTTGGGGATTATAGGGTTTAGGGTTCATGGGGTGTAGGGTTTCGGGTTTGGGGTTTGAAGTTGAGAGTGCAGGGTGTAGGGTTCAGGGTTTTGGAGTTTAGGGTCAGGGTTTGGGGTTGAGGGTTTAGGGTTTGCGGTTTCAGGGTTTAGGGTTTGTGGGTTTTAGGGTTTAGGGTTTGGGTTTTGGGGTTTAGGGTTTGGGGTTTAGGGTGTGGGTTTGGTGTTAAGGGTCTTGGGGTTTTGGGCTTAGGGTTTGGAGTTTAGGGTTTGGGGTTTATGCATCAGGGCTCAGCACGCGTACACTTAAGCGCCACCGTCCCTAAACCTTATCGACCCAACAACCCACACCCTATCAACCAAACCCAACACAAACCTAAACCCTAAACCCTAAACCCTAAACCCTAAACCCTAAACCCTAAACCCTAAACCCTAAACCCTAAACCCTAAACCCTAAACCCTTTTGCAGGCATCCTTCGTTTCCCTGGGGCCGCAAATCATGCAACCCCTTGAGCCCGAGCCATATAAAACCTTTTGGCTTCGGGTTTAGGGTTTAGGGTTTAGGGTTTAGGGTTTAGGGTTTAGGGTTCGGGGTTTCGGGTTTAGGATTGAAGGTTATGCCGGAATCCCAGAGTTTGGGGCGTTTGGTGGTTAGGGTTGGGAGTTTGGGGTTTAGGGTTTGGGGTTAAGGGTTTAGGGTTTGGGGTTTACGATTTGGGGTTTAGGATTTGGGGTTTAGGGTTGTGGAGGTTTTGGGATTAGGGTTTGGGTTTAGGGTTCGGGTTTAGGGTTGTGGGGTTCAAGGTGGGGGTTCACGGTTTAGGGTTTAGGATTGAAGGTTATGTAGGGCTTCCCCTTACGCAGCCGGAACCCAGAAAGCCGTAAACCCTGTCAGCTCTAAACCCGATAAGTCCTGTGAGCTTTATAGCGCCACCATGTAACTCCGCAAACCCTACGTTCCCTATAAGTCTCACGTGCCTAGAAGCCATATTTCCCAAAACCCAAAACACTCCAAACCCCATAAGCCCTAATTAAACCCGACCCCATGCACCCTACACCCTACACCCTACACCCTACACCCTACACCCTAAACCCTAAACCCTAAACCCTAAACCCTAAACCCTAAACCCTAAACCCTAAACCCTAAACCCTAAACCCCAAACCCTAAACCCTAAACCCTAAACCCTAAACCCAAAATCTAAACCCTAAACCCCAAACCCCAAAATCTAAGCCCTAAACCCTAAACCCTAAACCCCAAAATCTAAGCCCTAAACCCTAAACCCTTACCCAGGCTGGGGCGACCCTCTTCGACCTCTTCCACATGGAGCACACGAGAGCTTGGGAGGTGAAGGCCTGCGCCACCCCTTTGCGCGCCCACTTATGGGGTTTAGGGTTTAAGGTTTAGGGTTTAGGGTTTAGGGTTTAGGGTTTAGGGCTTGGGGTTTGGGGTTTAGGGCCTCAAAGGGTTGAGGAGTTTAGGGTTTAGGGTTTAGGGCCTCAAAGGGTTCAGCTGTTTTTTTCCCCCACCCTCGGTGTGGGGTTGTTAGAGTTTAAACTCAACTCTTCTCCTCGCCCGGAACTCTCCTCGCCCGGTCTAATCCTCACTCATTTTTGGAGTGCCCAACGCCAAAGTGTCCCTGGAGTGCCCAACTCTAGAGTGTCCCAGCCCAGAGTCTTCAACCCCAGAAGTTTTTTCTTGGAGTGCCCAACCCCAGAGAGTCCCCGAGTGCCCAGCCCCACAGTCTCCCTGGAGTGCCCAACCCCAGATTTTCTGGAGTGCCCAACCCCAGATTGTCCCCAGCGCCAGAGTGGAGTGCCCAACCCAGTCTCACTCCGTGCCCAGAGCCCCAGAGTTTCCCGGAGTGCCCAACCCGAGTGGTGCCCAAGCCCAGAGTGTTTCCCTGCAGTGCCCAATTTAGAGTCTCCCTGAATTGCCCAACCCCAAATTGTCCCTGGAGTGCCCAGCCCCCGAGTGTCCCTGGAGTGCCCAACCCCAGAGTATCTCTACCAAGAGAGGGTGCGGAGGGTTTAGGGTCTCAAAGGGTTCAGGAGTTTAGGGTTTAGGGTTTGGGGCATCAAGAAGTTCAGGGGTTTAGGAGTTTAGGGTTCGCTTCAGGAGGGTTTCATAAGTTCATTTAGGGTTCTGGAGGTTAATTCGGAGTTCAGGGTTTTAGCCTAAACCCTAAAGCGCTTTAGAGGCTTTCGGCTAACAGTTTCGGGTTGAGGGTTTAGGGCCACTCAAATTTCAAGTCTATTCAGGAGGTTAGGGGGTTGAGGGGCCTAATCCCCCAAACCCTAAACCCTAAACCCCAAATCCCAAAAACCTAAACCCGGGGTGCAAGGGCTGATGCGTTTTGAGCTTTAGGCTTTTTGGGGCTCAGGGTTTTCGGGGGTAGCGAGTTTCGCGTTTCGGGGTGTAGGAGTTTGGGAGTTTATAGGTTTTAGGAGTTTAGGGTTGGGCTTGCTTCGGGGTTGAGGTGAGTCGTGGTCTAGGATTTAGGGTTACCCCGCCCCCTTCAGCAGAGGATTGACGAAGGGGCACCAAGGCTTCCTAATTACAAGCATCATTCAAAGACTTCATATGCGGCCTAAACTCTAGAACCCTAAGCCCGAAACCTTGAACCCCAAACCCTAAACACTGAAGAGATGTGTTAGGAACTCTGAGCTTGCGCGGCTTGGGCTGGCGGTTTCAGCGGCTGACAACGTTGGGGTTTAGGGTTTAGGGTTTAGGGTTTAGGGCTACTACTCGACAGATCGAGCGTCGCCCATTTTCCGACTTTGGCCAGCCACGCGCAGCAGGAGACAATGCCACTAGGGCTTCGCGCCCACAACCCTAAACCCTAAACCCTAAACCCTGAACCCTAAACCCTAAACCCTCAACCCCAAACCCTAAACCCTAAACCCTAAAAACCCTAAACCTGGGTGGCTCCTAGAGCTGACCGGAGCCACAGACGGTCGACGAAGCGCTGGGTCCGGGACAAGACGCCTCGACAAAAAGCAATTTCAATCCCCGCTACCGCCTTGCACGCACGTGAGCCAGGACGTCAGGGACGCCAAACCTAGGGTTGAGGGTTTAGGGTTTAGGGTTTTAGGGTTTTAGGGTTTAGGGTTTTAGGGTTTAGGGTTTTAGGGTTTTAGGGTTGAGGGTTTAGGGTTTTAGGGTCAGGGTTTAGGGTTTAGGGTTTAGGGTTTAGGGTTTTAGGGTTTAGGGTTTTCGGGTTTTAGGGTTTAGGGTTTTCGGGTTTAGGGTTTTAGGGTTTAGGGTTTTGCGGGTTTAGGGCTTAGGGTTTAGGGTTTAGGTTTTAGGGCTTTGTGGTTTAGGGATCTGGCTGGGTTCCCCTCAGTGACCTTGAACAGAAGCCAAGGGAGGAGAACTCTCACTCACCCCTCAACCCTCAACCCTCCCCCCCCCCCCTTCCCCCTTGTCGCTGCCTGAGCCCCAAAACCCTCAACCCTCAACCCTCAACCCTCAACCCTCAACCCTCAACCCTCAACCCTCAACCCTCAACCCTAAACCCTAAACCCTAAACCCTAAACCCTAAACCCTAAACCCTACACCCTAAACCCTAAACCCTAAATAGAGAACCCGAATCCCTAAAACCGAAACCTAAACCCTAAACCCTAAACCCCTAAACCTGAAGCCGCACAGGACAAGGGCTCGGGCTTCATCCCCAACGCCAAGGATGGAGGCCACCGGCGTGGATGAAACCTTCAGGGTTTAGGGTTTAGGGTTTAGGGTTTAGGAGGGTTTAGGGTTTAGGGTTTAGGAGCGTTTAGGAGGGTTTAGGGTTTAGGAGGGTTTAGGGTTTAGGGTTTAGGGTTTAGGGTTTAGGGTTTAGGGTTCAGGGCTGAGGGTTCAGGGCGCTTGAGGTTTGAAGGTGGGCCGAAGGTGGGGGTTTGCGAAACTAGGGGGACCCCTACAATAGACCCCCCCCCCAAGAGAGGATTCCCTTACTACAAGGACCCTAAGAAGGTACCCCTAATCGGGTGCTTCAGTGTTTTTGAAAGGTTTCAGGGATTGGGGGGTTTTGTATGTTCCTTATACTAACAGTCCTTAAAAGGGATTATAGCACCCCCCCCCCTCCCCGCTTATTTGAATCCTTATTAAGCACTGTTAGTATAAGGGGGAACACCCCAACTTTAGGGATTCGCATGTTGTTTTCATGTTTATATCTCGGTGATCTGGCTTCGCGCCTCAGGGTTTGGGGATTTCGGGCCGCAGGGCCCTCCAGTGTCTGAGGTTCTTAGGTTCTTAAGGTCGTAGGGCCCCCTCCCTTCCCCATCCCTCCAAAGCTACAAAGGTTTAGGGTTTAGGGTTTCGGGTTTAGGGTTTAGGATATGCAATACCCTAAACTCTAACCCAGCCATCATGGAGCCGAGAGTGATCCCCTGCGAAAACAATCCTGGGGATCTCCTCACGTTTGCCCCTGTGATTCTCACCGACAACCATGGTCGCACGCATCGCCTTTGCCTTGGGCAGTGGGGACCACATGAACCCGAGCATTGGGTCATATGAAGCAGGGTTTATATTACTGTTCTTGGTGGGTGTATTTAAGGTTCATTGTATATACTTGGTGAGAGTGTATATATTGGGTGTCCTTTTGGGGATACAAGAAATATAAACCCTACTTCATATACCCTACCATAATTCCCATTGAAGTATATCAACCATAGGCTCTTTTAGGGGTTCATCTCGTCCGCACGGTGGGGGGCTGGCTAAGTTGGAGCTGCACGCTGACGTCACCAGGACAACGCTTGAGAGCACGATCACACTTGGTCGGGACATGGCCGAGCCGTGGAAGATGAACACACTCATCTCTAAACCCTAAACCCTAACCCTAAACCCTAAACCCTAAACCCTAAACCCTAAACCCTAAACCCTAAACCCTAAACCCTAAACCCTAAACCCTAAACCCTAAACCCTAAACCCTAAACCCTAAACCCTAAACCCTGGAGCAGAAGCCCTGCAACCCACAACGTCCTGGGAATTAGGTTCGGTTCCCGTACAAACTACAAGGCACAAAGCCAAAGCAGGGGCGGGGGCAGTTTTCCATTCCTTGGTCGTCCTAAACCCTAAACCCTAAACCCTAAACCCTAAACCCTAAACCCTAAACCCTAAACCCTAAACCCTAAACCCTAAACCCTAAACCCTAAACCCTAAACCCTAAACCCTAAACCCTAAACCCCTAAAACCCCTAAACACCACAACTCACAGAACTCTGAACCACTGAGTCCCTCTACAATAAAGACCCTAAACTCAACGCCCTTCAACCCGCAAACCACCAAACCCGACAACCTCCAAAAAACGCCTAAACCCTGCACCTGCCCTGTCCAAAATCCACAAAAACTCACCTTAAACCCTAAAGCGCAAATCCTAGAACCCTGAACCCCAGACCCCCTTATTTCCTCTCATTGCCTCCAAATATCAGCACAGGCCGGTTCCAGGTCCTTCTGGGCTGCAGAGCCCTGGCCGCCAGTTGTCCGTTTTGGTACCCGAAACCCCAACACCCAAAGCCCAAAACAGTGAACCCCCCTAAGCCCAGACCCTCCAAACCCCTAAACCCTACAGTGCCACATCGGTTTCGGGCCTCGGTTTAGTATTATTATGATTATTATTAGTTTTTTTTTTGAGGGGGGGCTCAGGGTTTGTGTTAGGTGTTGTTGTTCTGGCTGTTTGTTTAAGGGTGCCGTGCTCTCTAGGGGACCAATTTTAGAGAACTACCCACATTCTATGGTCTGGCCTCGGCAGCGCCCGCATTGCGAGGCCACGTGCGCTGGGAGACCTTTAGGGTGGGCCGGGCCAGCGGGCGCTCTCAAGGGACTGAAGGAGGGCGTGAAGTCGACCAGCACTGGACTTGCACTAAGCCAATGCAATCACAGCCCGGTCACGCTGTTTTACGACTTCGCGAGTTCAAGCACTTGTGCAGCTACGCCTGAGTGCGTCCGGTCGGACCGCACAGCAACCTAAGAGCTACTGTACGAAACTACCGTGCTCAAAGGCACAAGCTCGGTACTTGAGCCAAAATGTTGGCATTGTTACGAATTGCAAAACTACACATGCAAGGGAAAACAACAAGCTGCACTAGCACTAAGCAAGCACTCCATGCATGCTTTGACCTGCTCACATTCGCCCCTCAGCCGAGGCTTCCGGCTCACCAAGAGCTCATAGTGCGTCAAGCACTTCAGCAACGCGGCAAATGGGGTAGGGCGAGGGTGTCGCGTGCGACTCTGGTAGAGCCCGCACATCATGAGCATTGGCATGCGGCTTGGGCGGCAGCCCGCACTACCAAACGGACGCACGACGACAGCAGCCCTCTACGACCCTAAACCACCCCAAGTCGCGAGCGCTCACCTTTGTGCAGGCAGGCGAGGCTCCAGAGTACTGGGCAGGTCTTTATGCTGCTAGTGCAAAGCTATGGTACAAATGGTACACTGTACACACTACCGGCCCTAAGCTACGGCTACGGCTACTCACCTATCCAGAACTACCCTACGGGCTACCGGACTCAGCGAGAGCCGCGCACATTGCTTGTGCCGCAGGCAGTGCAGCTCGCACGCGCTTCGGCGAGCGCACTGCCGCGACCAGGACACGGTCCGCAGCACCTGCAAAAGAGCACCCTCGGCACGAGGGGCCACAGGCAGGGCGGAGGAGAAAAGTGCGGGGAATGCAAAATGGGCAGGTTTCCAACCTGCCGCGGCTTTTCGCCCGCAGTCAAGCAAAAGAAAGTGCAAAAGGGTTGGCGAAGCAACGTGCCGTGCTGCAACGCCTGCTCTGATAATGCGTGGATGCATACCACGCCGCGCCAACTGGCCGCAGCCTACTCGATACCCTGTGGAGCAGTGTTGGGGGCACGAGTGGCGTTGCCAGCAACGTTGGAGCTACTGGCTCGCTCCAACTGGGGGCGCATTGCAACCGCCTCATCGAGGGAGAATGCCTCAGCCGACACCCTCTGGAAATCCTCGATGTAGGACTGCGCGACAGGGTGCGTCTTGGGGACCTCAAGCTTAAGCCCTGCCTCCGCATTGGCTTTGCTGCTCGTGGTAAAATTGAGGCTCCCAATCAGCACCACCGCGCCATCAGGCCGCAGTAGGCAAAGGGCCTTGGCATGGTGCAGCCCTTGAATCCCGGTGCCTACCTTAGCCCCGCGGCCGTCGCGAGCATAGGCGTCGCGCACGGATGTGCCACAACCCACCTTCACCTCGGCACCTGCAGCCGCCAAGCGTTTCAACGCTTGCCACTGAAGCTTGGTGCGGTGGCATTGTCCCATGTCGGCGACAATCCGAACGCTCGCGCCCTTGCCAAGCGACGCTTCGATTGCCTCGATGCAGGATGGGCAATCTAAGCTGTACGCCCGGATGTAGATCACATCCTCTGCTGCTCCAGACCCAAGCAGCGTTTGGGCGGCCTGAACGTATGGCCCGCCCGCAAGGAATTCCGCTTCTTTGACTGGAGAACTCCTAGCGGGAACTGGGCCCTTGTTCCTCCGGCTGGGTGTGCGCGCCACAGTGGCAGTGGCGGCACGTTGCACGGAGCCGGACTGTGCGTGGGCTGCGCTCGCTCCATCTGCTGGGGCCGCGGCCAGGTCACGACCCGCGAGCCCCTGAAAGCAGGAGAGCCCGCGGCTCTTGGCCGCAAGTTGGGAGAAACACCCTTCACTGTTCCCCAAACCCAAAACCACCTTACCCTTAGCTAGGGCATCGGAGGCGGTACTCCGAATGGAGTCTGTGAGCGCAGGACCCGCGCCTCGCTGGGCCGCGTGCAAAAACCTTAGGGATCGAGCGGTGTCCATTGCGGCATCGCAATGCCCGCAGCGTCCCTCTGCCAGGTAAGCACGGCAGCCACAGGCAGCTGTCTCCTCCTTGAGGTGCACCCAAACCTTATGGGTCACCCCTTTCTTGGAGCTCACGACCTCAAACGTCGCTTCGGAGCCAAGGAGTTGAGACAGCCGCGCCCCAGGGGCCGCGGTGTTGCCATGTCGCATATGCGCAATGCGATTGGCAACGGCACGACTCACGTACCACAGAACAGCGCCGCACAAAATCACTACTACCAGAGTGATAGCTGTTCCGGCGACCCACACTGGCCCCGTGACCGATTTCCTCGACCACGTCGGCCGAAATTGTTGCAACCGCGTGCATAGAGTCCTCGACAACATGCACAGCCCCGCGGTGCAACTGCAAGGCAATCGGCGCCGACGCTGCAGCCGCCAGGCCCCACCAGCCGTTGATGTTCCCATTGAGGGCGTGCATCAACCGATTGAGGAGCCCGCGACCCAGGAAAAACGGGGTCCGCGGCTTCCAGCGGAACACTCGGCGGTGGCCGGGCCGACCCGCACGGGAAGGCTGGGACCCAGCTTGTGCTTGGGCGGGGCTGGAACGCGGCAACTATGCCCGCGGCGTAAGCGCCCCAGGCGTACCTGCCCCTCCCCTTGGGCTTGCCCTTGGCATCGGACTTGCCTCTGCCCTTCGGCTTGCCCTGGCCCTTGCCACGGGCGTCTGCCCAAGCACTCCAAGGGTCGCGGCCCTTGCCGTACGTCGCCTCTTCGCGACGTCTCTTGCCGCCCCTCTTCTTGTGTTTGCTCCTAAGAAGAGGTTGGATCGTTTCTTGATCCATCGCGCGATTGGCCAGAAGGATCTCGTACTCCAGCTCGTCCTGGCTGCTCTCGGAGCCCGAGTCCCTCTCTTCGCCGCGCCGCGGATCAGGGATCCCGCGGGAAACGACCTCTGCCAAGCGGAGAGGCGTGCTGCACCGAAAGCACAGCTGCCTGAATGAAAGGTTCCATTCATAGCAGTTAGGGCACTGCCACCCTGCTATGCGGAGCGCCTCGCTGATGTGATCATCGCGCTCCGCCTTCTCCGCCTGGCGCCGCTCCCGCTTCTTGGCGCGCTCGGCCGCCTGCGCCTCCTCGGCCGCCTGGAGGGCTTCGGCGAGTTCCTCATCGCTGAGGAGCCTCGCGGCATCTGCCCGCGCTTGTTGTTCTTCAAGCTCTTCGGCGGAAAACCTCCGCCGCCATTGCTCCGGCGCGGTTTGAGGATCTACCTCCCACCACCCGATGTCGATCCCATTGATCCATCGGCCGTCGCACGGGGCGCCCGCATTCGGGCCGCCCGCGTGCGTGGTGAGGCACTGGTCCTCGGTAACCGGGTTGATGGCTTCGCAGAAGAAGCACCGCCAGCTGCCGTAGGGGTAAAAGCGGCCTTCGACGTAGGCTCGGTTGGCTGGGAGGGCGACCTCGTCCGCCTCATCCGCGGTGGCTGCCTCCATCTCAACCGAGACCTCTTCGTCCTTGACGACCTCAGCCTCCTCCTCCTGTTCCTCCTTGGCCAGGGGCTCTTCTCGCTCCCGGCCGACGTTGAGGTGGGACTCAGTGCGAACCTCGGCGCGCATCAAAATGACGTCAAGGCTATCCGCGGCTGGGTCGCCCGCGAAGAAGGAGTCGATCTCCTTGGCATGGAGATCGTCAAGAGGCGTCACCAGGTCCGGCGAGTAATCTCGCTTGGAGCGACGCTCGGCCAGGCGTCGCTGGACGTCGCCCTTCGGCGGCTCGAGGGCCCGCCCGCGCGGAGCGGCCTCCCGCGGAGGCTCAGGATCGGCCTCCTCCGTGGGCTCGCTCTTGGGCGTGGACCCTCCATCGCTTCCCTCTGGAGGGGGGTCCAGCTCGGGGTCATCGCGAAGCCACCCCGGCGGATGGCTACCACCATAAATGTGGTGCGATCCATCCTCAAGCTGGATTCGGTCCCCTCGCTTCAGGAGCGGGACCCTCGAGTGATCGTACCCGTTGGCTTTGTGGTACCTAATCACTCGGAGCATGGGCACCTCCCCATACCCACCGTCCTTTCCTCGGCGGAACAGCCGTCCCCGCCAGTCCTGACGAAAAGGGTCAAGAGGTGCGGAGGGGCTGATCCCCAGGTTGGGCGGAAGAGAGGCGCCATGGCAGGCCGCCTGATGCAAGTGGTATTGCACCAGCGACTCAAAGGCCAGCCCGCATCCCGGAGCCGAACATCCGTAGTGGCCGTCAGCGTTGGGGCGAGGCTCCTCTGAGGCTGAGGCGGACTGGGCAGTCCCGCCTCCTGAAGGCCTGGCGGAACTGCTCGACCCCGCAACCCCGGGGGCGTCCTGACCATCGTCAGACACCTCTTCCCCGTCGGCGCCTTCCCCGGCCGCCCGACTCTCTCCCTCTCGGCGCAGTGTTTTGAGGGACTCCTCACGCTTGGTGATCTTCTCCAGCTTCACCATCGCAGTTCCCGCAACCTCCAGTATTCTCGACTGGAGCTTCTGCGCTCTCAGAAGAGCTTCGGACCGCGCGAGGTACTCCTTCGCGCTGGTGACCACCGACTGGCCGAGCACGAGGACTCCTTCCTCTGCGCTCTCGGCCTGGGCCCCACTAGCGGGCTCCTCGTCCTCCTTCACCTTGACCGCGGCTGGAGGCGCCCGCGTGTCGGGAAGATCCGAGCTGGAAC